AGAGCTGAGGATACAAACTTATAGATGAGCTACGTTATAATGTTTAAATAAATTAAACTATGAACGGATACTGTTACATAAAAGTAATATCGTTATTATAATTAGGATATGAAAATTTAAATTGAAGATTGTGAGGTTATGATCGCATGATATCAATCTTTCATTCATTGTTGTTTATGACTAAGTTATCAATAATTTATTCAGTAAAACATGAAAATAAAGGAATTATAAATCATGTAATTACAATCAATTATTGAAAAAAAATTCAGCGCCGGGATTTTAATCCACGACGCAAAATCTGTAGGCCAAAAACTATCGCTTCGGTTACCATGCTTGCACGTTAGAATATGATTGGAAGTATCTGATAAACTCGTAAGCTTGGAAGCTTGATTTTAAGTCATTAGATTTGCTTATTCTGCTTAAGTTATTCGGTGCTTAGGTTTAACAAATTGATATAACAATTTGTACTTGTTCACAAACGTGCCTTTCCGTTAAAAAAATTCTAAAGGGATTAAGTCACGGTGAAAATTAAAATAATTGAAGATAGAATAGCAGTGAAGTTGGTAGAAGCAGACGAGTAGGCCAGGAACAATCTCTTCGATGTTCTTCTCCCCCGAAGAAAACCCTAGATGATGTGTCGCTCAGTCCTCTCGATGAATGTCTGATGATGGATGTCCGGTTGAGCTTAGTCTGGATGATGCCTTGACTGGATGGTCTGGAGAGATCCGTCTACTCTAAGCCACTGTTAGAATGAGAATTAGAAGAATGACGTCGATGGACCTACATTTATACAGAAGGCTGAAGAAAAAGAGCACTCTCTGGTCCGCCCTTCAGTCTCATTGGAAGGAGGTGAAATTGGCTCGAAAAGTGTCGCCCCCATTCGACTATTTCTAGCATCTTAGGGGGATTGTGTGACGTCAGTGGCTCGTAGAGACTTATTTCAATAAATAGATAACAAATATCACAAACAATCGTGTTGTGAGTTAACCAACTGCAAGATTCGACTTGTTCATAAAATACAATGTCAGAAAGGGGATGACGAAAAAAACATTTATATTTAACGTTTTCAAAACAGTGACGTCACTCTCTCTTCATCTTTGACAACAAGAATTGACAAAAGAAAAATGCTGGCTCGAACCACTCTTAATAAAAAAAAAGAAAACCAAAAGAAAGAGAAAAACATCCCCGCAATTAAAAAAAAAAGCAAAATACAGCCTAAGCAGTACTAATGCACACAATATAACAGAATAATTAAAAAAAACTTTTTATTTACGCAAGATCTAATAAGTATTTTTATTTAATACAGCAAGTACATTAATGGATTCGATATAATACTGAATCATAATCGAATCCGAATAATAGAATCGAGAAATATGAAAAACCTGTAAAAAATACTCGAAATTTACAAAGAGAAAGAAGCGTGAGGAGCAACGCGTTTGCTCACTCGTACATATGCACGAGTCTGCGAGTTTGTTCTATAGGTGTGGGCCAGAGTAATATATATAGCGCCTGTACCGGCTAGCCAACCTGCTCCGCCAGCTGGCAGCACTCCCCAGCAGCCACGACGGCCGCGGAAGCAGTTGCTCGTGCCGCGAGCGGAGTAGTTAGTCAGAGAGTCAACTCGGAGCCGAGCGCCGGAGCACAAGCCGGAGCACAGTGCCTAACTGCGAGCACCGCGACGTATAGTTTGTGCGACCAGTCAGGCTCCTGTGCCCCACACCCGTGGCTTCCCTGTCTCCGTGTAAATTAGTGCCTAAGAAATAAAACCTAGTCTGCTGAAACATAGTTTTCCTTGTGCCTTCTCTTCTCGCGAATTCCAACCTGGTTCTACGTAGCGAGTGCAGAGAAATGCAGCGGACTCAAACCAGATCCGCCCGTTCCCTTACATTTATTTCCTGTAGCGCCGCTCTCGTGGCCGTGACTGATGGCTCCTCAAAATCGGCAGAGGGAGTGGTGGAAACTTTAATCATTTTTCTATCTTACACAGTGACTTAACTTCTCTTACGTTTCTTTCTCCCTACTCCTGTTTATCCCTGTCTTTTATCGTATCGTTACATATATTATATATATATATACATATATATACACATATATATACACATATATATATATATATTTTTTATTGTTTTTTTGATTTAAATAAATGGTTAAGCGAGTAATTATTACAAGTTACGTTTGTATTGAATATTTTAGCAATGACGTTAAAAATTTTACTTCTTTCTAAGTAGCAGATACTCTTGATAAAATCAATCAGATTTCACATACTTATAAGATTGTAATCTTTTCAAAGCTTTCACATTTTTACCCGTAAAATAACTATATTTCTAAGCAAAGTATTTTGATATGTCTATTAACTGAATCATAGGAAGGCTTTTTAAATCAACATTGCACTTATTCTTTTTTTAGTAAATAAAGTAAATGGGTCACCCTAACCAATTATTTTTAGTTTACTTAAGCATTTATATTCAAATATTTATAGTAAAAACAACTAGCCTATCATATATTTTAAACTAAGTCATAACTTAACAGATTGAAGCTTATTAAATATTTTAACAATAATCAGTAAGAGAAAAAATCAAGGTTTATAAGAACATTATGTATCAAAGTGAATCTAATTCATAAAATATTTTTTCATGAGCAGTAATTTGATTGTTTTAAAAATAAAAATTAATTTCTTTTGTACGCTAATAGACACCCTCTTATAAATAGAAATTGAGTGATAATTACAGTTTTCTATGCATAACAATAATTAGATTTTGACAGGTAATAAATTAAAGAAATTACAAAATTTAATTTTGCAAGGAAAATATTCTAATATTTTTATTAATAAATTCTAACAAATGTTAAAATTCAAATTTTGTCCCTAATTATACACCATATTACTTGGTAATGTCACAACTGAAAATTTTCTATTTTTAACTTAAAATTCACTTCAGGAGGAAGGAATAGCAGAACCAAACTTGTAGTGGGAAGGTTTACATGATAAATTTGGAATTTTCCACATTGATTTTGATTTTTCCTGTAGATTGTAAAATAGCATTTCCAATATTAATGTACTCTTCCTGATGGTTATCATAATGCCTTGTCTAAATAACCTGATACAAATTATTCATTTGAATTTCATAAAGCTTTAAAACTAAATGATATTTGAACAATATTAATCTTCTTCCATATTTCAACATAGCACAGAGGTGCTAATAGTTACACAGCTACTAGTTGTTCACCACTTTTTATTTTTACAAATACTAACATTATAAATTCTTAAAATGAAATTATTTTATGAACCCTTAGTCATTAAGCTTACAAATAAATTGGTAATAAAAAGAAAATATAAAAATTATTATTCATTACGGAATCATTTATTTGAGAAACTGTTAAATTACCTTAGACAACATTATGCTCTTATGGAGCTCCTAATCTTAATGTAATGTGAAATTCATGGAAAAGCGCTGTTATATGCTTTTAGCTTGAAAATTTTATAAGTATATTTGTCAAAGACTATTAAATATTCCATTTTCATCCCTATTTATAATTAAAAGATTTTATGTTTCTTTTTACATATAAATGAATGCTATATCTATGATTTAAAGTCTACTCAGTATTTAAATGAACCTTCAACCAATAAAAATATTCTAAATTTTATATTTTAGAAATTATATTTGTGTAAAAAATTTGAATTTCCCCTCTCAATCAAGCACTATCAAATAAAAATTTTCAGTTATAAAAGAATAGCAATTGATGGAATTGAATACTTTTATATATTAGTAATTTATTCATAGAAAGTAAAATTGATTATGTCCTAAGTAAAATGCGATTATCAATGACTTAAGAATGGTTTTTTCGAATTATCAAGTAATTTCATAAGTTTTCTGTTCAGCAGATAAAGAAATAATTGATACTTTCTTAATTATTGATAATTGATTAATTTTAACAAGTTATGGCTCAAAGAGATATTCAGAATTATACCCATAAGTATACATAATCAAATATAAAAAAATGCAAATTTAATACATGATTTAGAGAAGGAGAATACCTTGTATTCAAATACCCTGTATTTGAAAACTAAATACCTTATTTATAAAATCAAATAAGTAATGAAAATAAACCAATTACATCAAATAAGTAATGGTTAAATTAATAAATATTTTCATTTAACAAGGTAAAGATATGTAGTTTATATGTAGTTTATATATTTATAAATATAAAGTATTCAACAAACATGAGATATTAGGTAACTTTAGTTTAAAATATTAATGTTTGATTACTACATCAAAGCCTGGCCAACAAGTGAAATACATGATTGACTACTGGCACAATTTAAATTTCTTTCTGAACATCTTTTACTGTTCTTTTATACTAGGTAAAGTAAAACATAAAATGTTTTATAGATAAAGTACAATTCTTATAAGTTTTTAGTTACTTATATTTCTGAATTAATTAAAACTATATATTTTATTGATGTAAAGTAGAAATTAGTCTTGAGTGTCTGACTAGTGTTCCTATTCTATATATGTATATATGTCTGTGTGTGTATTTTTTTAATTTTGTTATAAGTCTCATATTAACAAAATTAACTTACATGCAATTATTTATAAAATATTACAAACATACTCACACACACACACACACACACACATAAATAAAATTTTAATACTACTACTCTAATACCTCTATTCTATTCCTATCAAACACTCAAGCACTGTCCATAAATTTTAAAGCTATCAACTATGTTATTGATAGTAATGGCTGTTTTATAACATTACAGGTGTAAATGAAGAAGTATTTTAATTTTGAAATAATTATAATAACCTAATTTAAAAGACAAGTTTTCTATACAGTTGAATAATTAAATATTATACTGTGTAGATAATTATTAATTCCATAATATATAAACTTTTTTATTAAAGTTATTATCAAAACTGAATTAACTTTTTATATGTAAAGATATAAAAAAATGTTCAAGAATATTACAATTATATACAATTTCCAACAAAACATACCACGGCATCCGACGAATTAATCATTTTATTTTATATTCAAAATAAAAATGCACAATATTTATATTTGATAAATGAATATTTGCAAATTGCAATCATTTACAACTTCAGATATGCAACATCAAATTTAATCAAAATCATGAACAATGTTTTATCTTGGCAACATTCAGAACGTATACTAGAAGTAAACATTATTTTAGAAAATGGTACTCCAATATTTCTGAATGTAATGTCCATATATTCTCGTTTAAGAACGTTCCCTTTGCGTTTATTCAGTTCTTATAAATTTTCATGATAATTTTTACTGCTACTAAAATTTGCCGCCTCGGCGTCGTCAAAACTCATTAAAGCCAAAACACAGCATTTAATTTTTTAAATTTGAAAATTATATTAATAATTTTGTATCTAATCTAAATATATCAGCGAATAGATAATAGACTGTATAATCGAAAATATCTATTGCAATTCGTTTGCTGAAAAATATCGTATTAATTAAAAAATGAGTGATTCAATAACTTTTAAATACAGGCACCAGTGTTGGGCTTCGAGGAATTATAACGCTAAGTTCAGCGTTCAGGAAAAATAAGTCGTTCATAGTGGGTCCGCTAACTTGGCACCGAAATATAAAAATTAATAAAAAATATATTACCTAGAAGAGTTTTCAATGCTCTTTACAAATATTACTATAAAAATTTTTCTCTTTAATTAGTTACCTATACATTAATTAATAACGCGATTAGTACTGCCCATACGTTTTTTATTAATATCTAAGCTAAATAATTAGTTATTTCAATTTTGGTCACGCTAATCGAATGCTTGTAATTTTGTCTTTCGATTGCTATAATATTTTTTTCAATATCCCTTCCGGAAGCCTAATACATAATTAATCAATATTTGTCTAATATATAATATAGGCTAACAGCTTAATCCAGTGCGCACGCGCAAACTTTCAGTTGGCGGTGCTGGTTTGAGCAGCTGAGCGGTAAAATAAATAAAACTGAACTTCTTTCAGTAGCATATGTTTAAAATATTTGTAATTATTTTTTATTGTTCGACTGATGATAATATGATAATATTTTTATTGTACGACTGATGATTAAATAAATGACACAGGATAACCTCAAATAAATGAGGTTTTGCTATACTATTTTACAATCGCTCTAATAATCTATTTTATTTATCTAATACTAAAGAAAGCAAGTAATGCTGCAGATAAAAAAAGACACAGTAGTTGTCGTTGTTGCTGCTGCTCGTTGAAAATTGCGTGCTCGCTACAGCGCACGGAAGAGGGCGACAACGGTGACGCTAGTGATAACGGTGCGCTAGTGCGTATGCACACGCACACAAGCATTTTCAACACTCCCTCCCTTTTGAGCGTATGTACGTCCCGCGGGCCCAGATCTTAGACCAGATGGCTCCTGTTTATGTAATTATTCAGACATGACATACAGACAGTTTTATATATTAAATATTATATCTCTAAATGCTTTTAATGCATGGAAAGGAAGAGGCTTTATGAAAATATCTACTAAATTTTTTTGTGACGATACCTATATTACTTTAATTTTGCTGTCTGCAGGGTGAGTCATTTTAATCTATGAACCCCCGTATCTCAAATTCTATGCATAGTACAGAAAAATAGTTCAGACGAAAGTTGCTCTTCAATACTAAGGGGGCTATATTTTGGTGACCTTAAATTTGACCTTGAACATGATGGGTCAAGGTCATTTCAAGGTCAATGTTTTTTTAAATAGCAACCCTTGCTTTTTATCTCGAATTCGGATTCTGCGTTAAATTCTATAATCAAATATGTGTGGGGTCCAAATGACCCAACCCCACCCCCAAAGTCTTTTCAAGTTTACCTTACTTTTTAAATGGGATCCATTATTTTTCATCGCAGATTTGAATTCTACGGGAAATTGCAAGTTCAGATGATAGGATATTTATAGGGTCCGAATGACCCTCACTACACCCTAAAAGTCATTTCATGTTTAACCTTACTTTTTTAATAGAAACCCCTATTTCTCACACCGGATATGGAAAAAGCGGAAAATTATTCATTCAGAACGAAATAATATTCAAAGGTTTATTTTTGCTTCCTTCGGAGGGTTAATTCAAGAGCAAAATTTTAAAAAGATGGATAGTAATTTTTTCAAGTTCTTTAACGAAGCAGTTGCTCTGACAGTATTTATTTGAAACATGTTAACTTAAGCGTGACACTGTTGAACTCGAAAGTAACAAATAAAAAATATCGAATTGTTCCTTCCCCCTTTCCCTTTCCTACCCTCCTCTTTCAAATCCCTCCCTTACTCAACGTTATTATCTCCCTACCCTAACTCTCATATTATCTCGCTCCTCTTTCCCCTTCACTCTCACTTTATATGATTAGTCATATGAAGCTGTTTAACCGTGTTTGATTTGAAAGATGAATAAATTGAAAATTATTGGTTTCATCTTAAAGAACTTAAGATTTTATTAAATTTATTTAATTTTAATTTTGTAACGGAGCATATGCGACCGTTCCCGTCTGAGTTGCTCGCGGCCGTCCACATAAAATATTTATTCAGGAATTCGGGAAGCAAAAGACGTTCCCACGACTGCATAACGCGTCGAGCATAAACACGTTAAACGCACAGATTCGAATTCGAGATGAGGAGTGATACAGCGGCGAATAAGCACAACAGCGGATTGACACAAATCCTTTAATCGTCAACAATAGATTACAAAACGGCGATCTTACGCCTATACACTACGAGCGGCACAATAATAACCCGAACGCGAAGGTGAATCGGTGGCTGATCAGCCTGCCGATTCCCTTTTTAAAACAGATTATTACAATAAAGCCCGTCGAACACTTTCCGCCGTTAATTCATCAACGGGGTAGCCAACAGGTCTGCCGTGCTATCACCCATAAGCTGGCGCCCAAACATGCAAGAGAGAGAGATACAAGAGAAAACACGGCATCGACCTCAACCTTCAGCCTCTCCGACGGCTGGAACGCTTTGCAGTGTGACGTCTGCACTGATGCGCTTCTTCTCGCTGACCGTCTCACTGGTGTTTGTTGTCGTAGCTGTTTATCTTCTTGCTCGCCCTCTCGTTCGCTCCACAATACTGCTGCCTCAATCCGTTGTTCCGCTCGATGATTGCTGTTGTCGTTTTTTCCGTTGCCTCTCAGTTGCTCGGTACTGCAGCAACGTCGAAAATGCTCGCGCACGCACTTGCGCACCTCGTTGGTTACCCACACGCATCGGTGCCGGGTATCCTTCAGAATACGGCTGGGCGCGACCCAGCCTCACACTCAAATACTCGTCCGCGCACTAGGCGTGTCTCCGCAAAACGAAAATAACATCGACGAGGTCGCGGGGCCAACTTCGGAAAATCGTTAACTTTCGGTTTAATCCGCGTGCGCGGCTTTCTCTGCTTATAGCCTAGCAGAGACTCTCTCGAATTTTCCGCGATGATCCGCAATTCGAGCGCTCTCTCTCTCTCTCTCTCTCTCCCTCTCTCTCTCTCTCTCTCTCTCTCTCTCTCTCTCCCCTTTCTTCTACGCCATCTTCATCGCTCCAGCCGTCAGCTCAGCCCGTGTACAGCACCTCGTAAAGAAAAACCAAACATGAGTGTGCGTACCACACGCACGTACTCTCAGCTTGGCGCGACGCACGGATATTTGCGAGAAGCAGACGGACGAAATTCTCCGTTACAATTTCAATACAAAAAAGTGTAGATGTAAATAGCTTCTAGTTATGCATTAAAAAATAATAAATTCCGAGGAATGAAAAATTTTCCAGTAATATTGTTCATACGTAAAGTCATGCATAATACTGTAACGTCGAGAACAAGTAAGGCGATATAAAAGCGGGAAATTTTAATTTTTATGGAGAGATAATTCCTTCAATCAGAGTAATGCATAATTAAAGCCTGACCTTGTTCTTGTTGATGCGCGCTTTCTATATGGGTGTAACCCTTTATATGTTAATTTTATGTATTTTGTCCAATAAAAGAGGTGAGAGAGTGCCTGTTAAAAATTACTTACAATTAGTACTACACTCTGTATTTTATCTTGAACCATTGAGCCCTCATGCCTCAGGCGGCATGATGTCCTTATTTCTCTTTTTTTTTTTGAATGTAAATGCTAATTATTAATGTTGATGGAAGGTGTTGAATTAATTAGACTTAAGTAATGGGAAAAAGCCTTGACTGGCAAAAAAACCCATGAATTTATTACTTAAAAAAAATTACACTGAATTAACTCTAACGCGCAACACGATGACTTAATACAAAGTTAAATTTGACAAAGAAATGAAACGAAGAACAGAATGATGTCGCTTGCACGTGTACACACACATACACACGGCACTGCACACTAATAAAAAGAATGATGTGGTCGAGAGAAATCTCAGACATACAAGTTTTTTTTGAAACGAAGGCGTACTCAACACCTCTGATAAAAAGAAACTTTAAGAAATGAGTGGCAATGAATGCCGTGAACAAAGGGCTTCTCAAACGCCGGACGGCAAGTGAGTGCATTGCACCACGTGGTGCAATATCTTGAATTTCACTAATTATTTACCTTTGATTTTCTTGACTCAATTGATAATCGCATAAGTGTGCGCAATACGTTGCTTGCATCTTCACTTAAAATTTGAGGCGCGAAAGCTAATAAAATGAAACGTAATTTTATAAAAATGCGACACTAAGCACGTGCTCACGACTGGCAGCCGGAACAGTCTTAGTAGACACTGACTGGCAATCGCGTGGCGAGCAAGCAATTAGCCGCGTCCGGCATGTGCTGCCATCATGAGGCGCCCTAATCACTCTCTAACACACATACTTACAAACTAACGAATTAAACGTGTGACGACGGAACACTCTGGAAGATCCCGAAAGTCTCTGTATCATTTGTGCTGATTAATAAATATTAAAAGTAAAATACCACTTGTCATTTATTCTGAATTAGAAAAGGTCTTGCGCCTACTTAAGGCAGTTACAATCCATCCCTGGATTTTGCAGTATGAGTTGTACAACGAAGCAACCTACAGGTAAATCTATTTATATTAATCGTTACTTCTTTATATTCGTCGTCTTAGTTTTGTTGCCAGCTTGCTCTTGTGTAGTCTCATACCCGTGGTAAAGCGCTTACGTGTTGACCGAAAAGGGACAGTCGCGGTTGAGTAATTATTGTCAATCCGCGGCTGTTGTGTGAGACGTTGTGGGGACTCCTTTGGGTTTTTATAATTAACAAAAGCAGAGTTAGGTAAAATTTTTTCTTTCTTTCCAAAATCGATATGGCTACGGTTGCTGATACGAGAGGCAAA